AATGGGTATTTGATGTTGCAAAGTTTTATCTTGCAGTCTCTAACATCATTTCTATCACCAAGACCATGTGTTCAAATATTGTACCTTCTTCTTTGTTTCTAACTTTTAACTTCCAATCACCAATAATTATTAATGTATCTTGATTGCATGTTTGATCAAATCTAGGCAGAAGACGATAAAATTCTTCACTCACTTTATCACTAGCTTTTGTCCTTGGTGCATAAATTTGAATAATGGTTTAGTCTTTGGACATCCTTCTATGCAGACAAACGTTATCCTATCACAGACAGCGTCATAGATTAAGATAGATCTGAAACGTCCTTTTTGGAAATGAATGCAACCCCTTTCCTCTTGTTGGTATTATTCCTGGCATAGTAAGCCGTATGATTTTCTGACTTGAAATGGCCAATACCAGTTCATTTCAGCTCACTAACACCTAGAGTATCAATCTTTAGGCATTCCATTTCATTTTTAGCAACTTCCACTTTTCCTAGAGTCCTACTTTACTCCATCTGCATCTTTACAGTTAGCTCTACATTGAGAAGGTAGCTCTTCCTCACTCGTATTTTGAGCGCCTTCTGACCTGACGGGCTCATCTTCTGGCCCGATCTGACAGTGTTGTGCTTGTGTTCATTAGGCTTTCAGGAAGGGACAATGTTTCAATACTATCCAGAGAGTTTTCAGTGCAAATTGCCTTCTGAAGTGAGCAGCCTATTTCTTCTTCGTCCTGCATTCCGAGTCTAGAAGCTCTGCTGAAGCATAGTCACTTGAGTGAGCCTGCTTGTATGTGAAACACCAGTGACATAGCTCTCAGTTTCACAGCAACACACTATCCACCACAGGGCCACAAATAGATAAGTGGTGGTTATTAGTCTATTAACTGAAAACAAACTGGAATTTACTTTTGAACAACGGAAAGGGCAGAAGGAGCAAAGAATAAAAAGAGAGAAGAAAGAGTACAAAGAGGAGAGAAAGAAAGACATCTATTAGTGTATTGAAATGCCTGATTGCTGTGTGGAATTAGACAGTTGAACTTTGCCTGTGTTCATATTGTCCTCCACTGTGCAGCTTCCTATATTCTCCCTCAGTCGCTGAAACATTTCTGGGTGGTTTGTGACTCAAGACTTCTGCAGTGCTGGCAGCCACCTTGGACAAGTAGATGAAAACAGAAAAGATGATGTCCGTTTTACATGTGTTTTCAAGTGGTAGCAAGTGTGTAGAGCACAAGGTACAACATATGAAAGTAGAGAGGGACTCCTCAGAGCCTCTAAAATGAGTTTTTAGCTTTGTTTTTTATTTAAACTTGAGGGATAAAGTGAGAAAGGAGGTGATTTCAGGACAGGTACAGTAAGAAAGAAAAAAATTGAGTGTGTTTTTCTAAGAAATGCATACTAGAAAAGAAAGATCAAGCTAATAGCAGTGTGGTTAATAATCATTTTATTTCCAAGATAAATCTTTGAGTAAAGTGGGTGTATGAATCATGTTTTAAAAATAACAGATTGCTTAAGAAATATTTATAGAAAAAGAAGCAGGCAGTGAAAATGGTAAGGCATTTAAGTAAAAATATTAGGTAAGAATGTTCTAGGTTATTTTTCTGTTATTTTGTTTTAATGCTAACATTTCTCCTTTATGTCAGGTTTTTGAGGGTCATTCAGATTTTATTAATGGTTTGGTGTTTGAACCCAAAGAAGGCCAAGAAATTGCGAGTGTGAGTGATGACCATACCTGTAGGTATGTTATGTTACAACCACATTTTTCAATTTCATTTGAATGAAGCTTATGTTTTGTAAAGGAGAGGAAATGTAACTTACATAAACACCACAACATGTTGTAAAGGAAGCATATTTATTTAAAGTGTGAGGTATAACACAAACATGATTTTCAAAACCTGTAAGCTATGTTCTCGTATTAGTAAATGGAAACTTCCATGGCAAATTCGTGGATTTCTTTCTGCGCTCTTTCTAGGTCTGCTTGTTTGTGAAAGCTAAATCTACATTGGATTAAATGCTCCAGTACTGGACAAGGTCAATGGGATAATTAAAAACAGTTGCCATATATTATGAGGTTACTTCACATATCGTGCATGATAAGTTAGTATTTGATCACGAACATAAGATGAAAAGCAAGAATTACGAGGTAGAAAGAAGCTGGGGAGTGAGGAGTGAATGAATCAATCATTAGATGAACGTAGGTTCCTGCGTTGGCAACAAAAATACTGTGATCCCAAACAACACTCCTCTGATATTTTACATCAGGGGTCCTCAAACTTTTTAAACAGGGGGCCAGTTCACTGTCCCTCAGACCCATTGGAGGGCTGGACTTTAGTTTAAAAAGAAACTATGAACAAATTCCTATAAACACTGCACATATCTTATTTTGAAGTAAAAAAACAACGGGGCAAAAACACCCAGCGGGCCGGATAAATGTCCTCGGTGGGCGGGCCTCATGTGGCCCGTGGGCCTTAGTTTGAGGATGCCTGTTTTACATAGTTGTAATGTGTGATAAGCCTATGTCAAATCATCAGCATTTATTAGCACTTATGCTTGTAGAAAGCCATTAAATAGTGTACTTTCACAATGGCAGTAAAACTGCTAACTGCCGTTTTGATTATAATGCTAAGACAGCTTATCCTTTTTTTAGAGTTTTAGATTCATGGACCATTATTCTTTATTTACTGTCTATTAAAATTTTCGTATCAGAGGCAGGAACGGTTTACATGATATTAAGATCCTTATGTTTCGAGAATCCTTGCCTTTGAAAGGGCCCCAGATGCTATGAAACCAAGTGTGTATGGAGACCTTCCCTTGCTAAATTAATGGGTGTAAATGGGACCGTTTTTATGGTAAAGATAGAAAAAAAAAAAGAGTGTTCTTGTTGAGTGCCATAGAAACAGCTGTGATTCATAGTGCCCACTCTGTGCCATTCTTACCTTTGTTATTCTTGAGCCCAGTGTTCCAGCTACTGCGTCAATCCATCTTATTCCAGGTCTTCCTCTTTTTCACTGATGCTGTACTCCACAACACGTAGTGTCCTTTCCCAGGGACTGATGTCTACTTTTAAAATACCCAAAGTAAGTGAGACAAAGTCTTTGCTTCCAAGGAACATTGGCTGTACTTCTTCAAAGACATAATTCAAAGAGATAATTCTTCTGGCAGTTGTAGTACTTTCAGTATTCCTCGCCAACACAATAATCAAAATATATAAATTCTGCAATCCTCTTTTTCATTATCCAATTTTCACATCTGGAGGTGAATGAAAATAGCTTGGCGAGGATCACGCCTTATTCTTCAAAGTGATAACTTTACAATTTAACACCTTAAGGAGGTCTAGTACCATAGATTTGCCCAGTGCAGTACATTATTTGAATTCTTAAATGCTGTTCATGAACATTGATTATGGACCCAAGTAAAATGAAATTCTTCACAACTTCAATCTTTTCTCCATTCATCTTGATGTTTGTTTTCTTCACATTTAGTTATAATCTATTCTGAACATTGTCATTTTTTATCTTCATCCGGAAGTCCTCTTGGCTTTCATCAAGCAGTGCTGTTATTTCACAACATCACAAATGGTTAATTAAGCCTTCCTCCAATCCTAACGCCACTTTCTTCTTATACCTCAGCATATAGAAGAATCAATCTCTCTCTCTCTTTTTCTGTCTCCAAAAGTTTGATCAGATCACCACAAAAAAATAATGGCATTTGAGTTCTCTAAACATGAACTTTCCTAATCAGAGTAACTTAGAATAATTAAATCTGAGAGGATGGAATCAGTGTCTTTGCAACCCACATAATAGCTTCCAAAGAATGAACCAGTTAGACCATGAATTGCACAGGGTGGGCTATTTATACATTTTCTTGAGGTAGACTGAAATTTTGTAGATTAGTATCACTTTGACAGTTGATACAGTTGCCAATTTTTATCTCAAGTAAAAAATGTTCAATTTAGCAGCTTCTACTAATACTATTATTTTATAAAAGAAAGGCCATAGTTACTCTAAAACATAGAAACACATTAACTTCAGAGTAAATCCTTTGAATAGATTTAACTTAAAAAAAATTCAGTACTCTAATATCTCATTTTGATAGACTGTTGATGATATTGCCCAGTGAATACTTAATCTCACTTCCTCCTACAGAATGAGAAAAATTCCCCATCTCTTTGCTATTGAACCTGTACAATGTAATGTTAGTAAATGTGAGCTATACAGTATAATAAAGAAACTTTATTGTGATACACTCATTGCATTGGTCTCAAACCAAACCCATCGTACCTCTAAGGTATGCTTATAAAGACACCATCCTCATAGCGGTTACTGCATAATGTAGACAGAGGAAATGGCCATTTCCATCCCATGAATCACAGCTCTAGCCATACTAAAGTAATGCCACACATAGACTGTGTCTGCATGTTGGTGGGAGAGGAAACATCAAATTTAAAACAATGGTTGTGTTATAGTACGAATAGTTTTTATGTACAGAAATAAAACAAGACCAAAGATCAGCAATAAAATAGAAAATTTCAACATTATACACCATCACAGACATGTATGGTAAGATATATTTCTCAAGTATGCGAGGGACATCCTCTATAATAGGCCACTGTTAGACCACAAAAATCCCGATACTTTGAAAGAGAATAAAATCATACTAAGTATTTTGTCTGACCATAATGGAATAAAACTAGAAATCAATAACAGGAGAAAAACTATAAGTCTACAAATATGTGGAAATTAAATAACATGCCCTTTAAAAACCAGTGAATCAAAAAAGAAATCACAGAAGAAATTAGAAAATGCTTGAGGCAGATACAGCCTAACACGCTAAAACTAATGGAATACAGTAAAGGCAGAGGTTTGAGGGAAATGTATAGTTGAGACAAAAAAAAAAAAGAAGACATCTTAAATTAGTAGCCAAACTATACATCTTAAGGAACTTGAAAAAGAAATGCAAATTAAAGCTTACAGATGAAAAAATTTTGAAAAAGATTAGCCCAGAGATAGACAAAATAGAGAACAGAAATTACTGAAACCAAAGGTGATTCTTTGAAAAGATCAAGAAATTAACAAACTTTAACTAGAAAGACTCAGAACAAAGAATGCTCAGATAGGTAAAATTAGAAATTAAAATAGGGAAATCACTACTGAATTATGGAAATAGAAAGGACTATAAGAGAATTATACACCAACAAATTAGATAACCTAGATGAAATGGATAAATTTCTAAAAACATAGGAACTACCAAAACTGGCATAAGAATAAATAGAAATTTTGGATAGACCTATAATGAGTGAAAATTTGAATTAGGAATCAAATGCCTCCCAGCAAAGAAAAACCCAGAGCCAGATAGTCTCATCGGTGAATTTTGCCAAATATTTTTTAAAATAATTAACGTCAATTCTTCTCATATTCTTCCAAAAAGTAGAATAGATGAGCTATGTCATAAATCATTCTTTGATGCTTACAGTGCCCTAGTACAATAAAGCCAGACAAGGATGTCACAAGAAAACTACAGACCAATATCCCTTAAAAACACAAATGTAAAATAACCCTTCGCCCTCCCCTCCCAGATCCCCCTCACCCCCCAAAAAAAGCCCTCACTGCCATGGAGTGGATGCCATTAGTCTGGTGTAGCACGACCCCCGTGAGTCTCCAAGACTAACATATTTACAGGAATAGAAAACCTTATCTTCCATGGCGCAGCTGGTGGTTTCTAAGTAGTGTATATTAGTAAAAACTAGAAAATTCTTAGAAACAACATAAGAGGTCAATCTTCGTCACCTTTGACTTGACAGTGGTAACAGTCATAAAATAGATAAATTACATTATGTCAAAACTTAAAACTTTGTGCCTCAATAAATACTATTAAGAAAGCTGAAAAGACAACTTGCAGAGTGGAAGAAAACATTTGCAAATCTTATATCTAATAAGGTCCTTAATTCTAAAATATATGAAGTCCTGTACAACTGAACAAGAATAAACAATGTACAGTCAGGACTTGGTCTCAGGGGACACCAAGATCATTTGGCCTAACATAGGTCACAAAGAGTCTCATACATTCCACTCTGATGTTCCTAAAGCTCCTGAGCAGCTATGTAAGATGCAATTATTTGTCTTTCCCTAACCAGAGAAAAGAGGAATGAAGAAATTTGAAGGCAAGTCAATCAAACATTTAGTCTAATGGACCATATGAACATCAGTTTCCATGACTCTTAAGACCAGAGAGGACACCTTAGAACAGTCAACCATTTAAATTCAAATGGTTTGAATGGCAAGCATTTTCCCCAGTGCTTAGTTCAGAAAGTAGAAAGAGATAGGAACAGGGGACAAAGGAAAACTGCAAGTTCAGAGAGGAAGGGATATAAGGATGGTTACATTGTGAAGATTGCAGTCAATGGCCTAAAATAAAAGTGCATGAATTGTCGAATGGAAAACTGATTTGCTCTGTAAATCTTCACTCAAATCACAAATGAAAAAGAAAAGACATTCAACATTATGAGTCATAAAAATCCAAATCAAAACCATGTTAAGGTACCACTTAGCGCTCATTAGAATAATACAAACACACACAAAAGGACCTGGTGGCAATGTGGAGAAGTTGAGGCCCTCCTACTTTGAAGGTGGCGATGGGAAATGGTATCCTTGGTGTGCACAATAGTTTGGCAGGTCTTCAAAAGCATTAAAGATAGAATTATCATATGGCCCATCCAGAGTATATGCCCCACACCTTGCA